TATTTTCTCATTTGCCTTTCAAATTGATTAAAAACTTCTTGAAATTTACACCTTTAAAAAGAACTTTCAATGTTTTCTGTTATTGTTTTTGAAATTATCAAAAGCATAAGTAAATTTTTATTACCCACTTGGATAGACTTTCAAGTTTTAGCCATTTGACTTGATTTACTTTTCTACTATATTACAGGAGGATCCATTCATTTATGTATAAAAGATGTATATAAGACCTACCAGATGCAGGCCACTGTGTTAGGCATTACAGGGGAATTCAAAAACCTCATAAGATACAAACAAATATCTATAATAAGCACTGTGTGTTAAACTGCTTAACATTTAATAATATTGTTTGGCCATTTTATAAGCCACTCGTCTCTAGGATTCCTTTCTATATTTTCTAATTTAAATAAAACATTTAAATTAGTACTTTGGAAAAACAAATTTGATATTTTGTTTGTGCTGCAATACTCATAATGTGTTTTTTGAAGGACCACCTGGATTAGATGGATTACCAGGTTTGAAAGGAAAACCTGGAGACATTGGATCACCTGCAACCAGAACAACAACGAGAGGCTTTGTCTTCACCCGACATAGTCAAACAACAGTGATTCCTTCATGTCCAGAAGGGACGGAGCCACTGTACAGTGGGTTTTCCCTTCTTTTTATACAAGGAAATGAAAGAGCCCACGGACAAGACCTTGGTAATGGCCCAGTCCTAGTTTCCAGTTGTGTTGTTCCATGTGGAGATTGTAAAGTTTAATAGCAGGGAGTGTTTCTCTCTGAAGTTAAGTATAAACAACGTTGAGTATCTTCCAGCATGTTTTAAAGAGAGTAAATAAAACAACACTGGCCTAATGTCTTAATTTTTATTCTGGAATGAGAAGTGCTGGAAGGAGCCTAGCTCGTGAATGCCAGCCTACCTCATCCCGTTCAGTGCAATTTTCACTTCAACCATCTGTCTGCTTTTTAATCTTAAAAGTAACATCTTTTCTAAAGCTCTATGTGGTCAGCTATTATGTTCATATGAGTAACTGGGAATACTTTGAAGAAAAACATTGTCTCAACTGACCTAGACCAGCCCCCAAGTTCTCGACTAATTAGAGAGAGCCACAGGAAGTATTAAGGGTGGGAGAAAGAAGATTTGTTTGCTTGTTGGATCTTTGATTTCTATCAGTATGAAAACTGGTCAATACTACATTTTGGAAATAACTCTTTTGTGTTGTCTTTGTCCAGTTTTTGCCACAGGTTATGTTTTAATTACCCTCTGTCTAGCAATGATCCTGAAAATAACTTTAACTCACTGAAAGTGATATTCAGTCTGATGTTTTATTAGGAACTCTTGGCAGCTGCCTGCAGCGATTTACCACAATGCCATTCTTATTCTGTAACATCAACAATGTATGTAGCTTCGCATCTCGAAATGATTATTCATACTGGCTGTCAACACCAGCTCTGATGCCAATGGACATGGCTCCGATTACCGGCAGGGCCCTGGAGCCTTATATTAGCAGGTAAAAATCTAAGCCCTTAGTTTTGCAATGGGATCGAGGGAATCACTTCACTCGTAATGGAATGTAAGGCAGCACATCATGTTGCAGAAAGTGGTGATGCTGCCACGGTCTTTGTTCCACGTTACAGATGCACTGTCTGCGAAGGTCCTGCGATTGCCATAGCCGTTCACAGCCAAACCACTGATATTCCCCCATGTCCCCAAGGCTGGATTTCTCTCTGGCAAGGATTTTCTTTCATCATGGTAAGAAGAAAAGGGAATAAGAGATTTATAGTAAAGATTACCTGTAGAATCTTATTGGGTAAAATGTGGCCCCCAGGGTTGATGCTGCCTGACATCAGTATGTACAATATGCTGTAGACATTTGCTTGAAAATCTGAAAATATTCTTTTCATTTTTTTACTTTCAGTTACTTTTGGTAAACAATAGAGCATTCAAAAAATCAATTTCTCCAGAGGAGATTATCTACAAATTCTAAATCATGACATTTATTATAGGTCGATGGTAGCTACTATTTACTGTGTGCCATGACTGTTCTAGATGCTAAGGATACCAGGAACCGAGGTTCCTGTTCTCATGGCGCTTATATCCTAGTGAGGAAGATGGACAAACAGCAAGGAGACAAAATAACAATAGCAGTAACAAGATTTCAGGTGGCGAAGGGTACCGTGAAGGACATAAGGCAAGATAAAGTGAGAAACTGTCACAGGGGTAAGGCCAAGGAAAGCCTTTCTGGGGTTACGTTGAAGCAGATCCCAGAAGGACAGGAGAGCCCCTCAGACCTGGGGGCAAGGAGTACGCCAGGCAGGAGCAGCAGCTTTTACTTTATTTTTAGTGACTATCCCTCAACCTAGAAGAGACCTGGAGTATTAGCAAATCTGGTTAACGAAGTAAAAGAAGTTTCATTCATACTTCCTGGGATTTAAAAAATTTTCTTATTGTCTCAGATTACAAAAAAAAAAAAAAAACTAGAGAATTGAAAATGCGAACCCCAAACTGACAGTTTTTATTCAGATATTTTTTATTGTGATAGTTCACAAGCGCAGGTTCTGAGGGCGCTGGGCAAGCACTGTCATCCCCTGGCTCCTGCTTAGAAGAATTCCGAGCCAGTCCATTTCTAGAATGTCATGGAAGAGGAACATGCAACTACTATTCAAATTCCTACAGTTTCTGGCTGGCTTCATTAAACCCAGAAAGAATGTTCAGGTAACTATTCAATGTCAAGTTTAACGTGATGATTCAGCTGCAGAACTATTCCAAGTTTGCCTATGTTAGCTTTTCTTTACCTATGTGTTGATGTACTCACATTTAAAAAATCTCCCATGCCCATAAAATCCTGTTTACCTTGGCACTCCCAGTTTACAAGTGTTCTTGAATTTAACGAGCAGCCATGATTTTATACTACTGCACCAATAAGGAAAAAAAATGTTTTGTCATCACTAAACATATTTAATATTTATATATAAATTTATAGTAAATTACTGAATAAAACTATGAAATGATCTGCTAATCTTTTTTGTTTGTTTTTAATAAGAAGCGGGGAGAGTAAGAACGTGGGTTCAATTTCCTTTTTTCTTTTTATTGCGACAGAGTCTCACTCTGCTGCCCTGGGTAGAGTGCAGTGGTGTCATCATAGCTCACTGCAACCTCAAACTCCTGGGCTCCAGCGATCCTCCTGCTTCAGCCTCCCAAGTAGCTGAGACTACAGGCGTACACCACAACACCTGGCTAATTTTTCTATTTTTAGTAGAGGCAGGGTCTCGCTCTTGCTCAGGCTGGTCTCAAACTCTTGAGCTCAAGCAATCCTCTCGCCTCGGCCTCCTAGAGTGCTAGGATTACAGGTGTGAGCCACTATGCCCAGCCTGCTAATTTTAATTTAGTATATTTACTTGTGTGTATTAATAACTTACTTGTGAATAATGCAAATTATTTAAATTATTCAAAGGGTGGGGGTTGTCTTTATTACAAAAAAGATGATACATTTTCATCAAAGCCTATGTTTCTTTAGTGCTACTGAAATATGAGTAAAATTATAAAATGCCAACATATATACTATTTCAGAGATACTCCTCTTCCATAAAGGGAGATATTGCTGTAATAAATTTTAGGATAGCTATAATATTGATTAGTAAAACTCAAACCCAGCAAGTATTCCCTTTGTATCTATAAATTGCTGAGATTTTTTTGGTTTTGTTTTTATTTCAGAAAGCCTATTCCATCAACTGTGAAAGCTGGGGAATTAGAAAAAATAATAAGTCGCTGTCGGGTGTGCATGAAGAAAAGACATTGAAGAAATCCAAGAAAACCGTACTATTTTTCATCCTAAAAGAACAAAGTAATGACTCGGGACATGCTTTTATTTAGATATTTTTCTCTAACCAAACAACATTGCTCTATGATGGCTTAGTACAAATTTTCAATCTGTTTCCCCACACAACAAAGCATTTCTTTTAAGTTAGCTCTGTGATCTTGGTCTCTAAATCTGTGCTATTTCAAAGTTCCCTGTAGCAAGGCAGCAACTTTTCACAAAATATTATTGAAAGCGTATTCCACTTGTATCCAATGCACTATCAAAATGGTGACCATGTAAAGTTTGAATGCTACAAGTTAAGAAATACTTGGTTCACTGGATTCCCAACATTTGTCCTCTTCTCTTCCAGTCTTTGAGACTCAGGGAGACTAAATCAGTCTTAGATTGCCCAGCCACCCCTTCCTGAAACATTCGACCCTGGGTAGAGAAGGAAATGGGGGCGTGTGGAATACTGAGGCATCATGAATAGAACTGGACTTTCATACCTGTTGAGTAACCTAAGGCCTGAGGGAACACAGAACTGAACTGAGGTTCACGGATTTTCCAGGACTCTTTCAAACATACCCAAGGCTAAAGGCAAAAGAGGGGTCCCTGAATGGAACCATCATAGCCTTGGAAATACTATATGGTTTTGTTTTGTATTTTTTAAAGAAATTTTTGTTTGTTTATTTAATTCATTTCACTGCAGCTATAAAGCCTGCTTGTATTCAAAGTAGATAAAATTTTCCCCTACTGAATTAATTTTAACAGGCTGTTGTTATACACATACTATGAAATGTATCCAACTTTAACTTCTCTTTTACCAGCACACCCATACAAATAACAAGGACATTACTCCTGAGATGTGCACTTTATCCCCATCCCTATAAATGTTGGTGCACACCTTATATAATTGAATAGTTCAATAATCCGTGAAAGAACTTCAGGCATTTTTTGGCATATCAGGCTCAGAATATTTTTTCTTTGCTCTAAATATTTCATGACTCTGGGTTTTAAAGATTTATATTCCTTTGTAACTCCTCTAATTCTTCCTTTATAAAGAACATGTTTTTGTGTTATATATTCTTATAATCAATATTGAAAGAGTCCACTGTTTAAAAATGTTCATGTACAAATTGTATAACTTGGCAGCTGTATGTCTTAAAACTTGATTTTGAGTGTGTTCATACATTCAGAAGGTTACTAAATCCAATTTAACAAGAATTTTATTCAGCATCAAGCCATGTCCCAGGCACTGTGCTAAATTCAGAGACACAAAGAGAGAGAGAGAAAAAAAAGAGATTTGTTTCTGATCTAATAACGCAGAAAAGGTTAACTCATTGCTCTAAGAATCTCACTTATGTGAGTTGCTTCCCTCCTCCCCTTTTTTCTTCCTTTGTCACTGTTTTTATATTTTATCATCATAATTCACTAGGCCTGAGTCAAATTTTAAAAATAAGATCTATGCCCAGGGAAAACCCAGGACTTTGAGCTTCTCTTAGTTATCCAAGAAGCTAAGGTCTGGACAATGTTAAGAAAACAAAGCTCTACAAAACATTAAAAACCATTTATACTTGATGGTAGCGCTATTTGATGAGTCTTAGAGGCCAGGCATCATGAGACAAAGCTTTGAGGATGCTTCTTGATCCGCCTAGGTGGAGTTGGTGGTGCTGATATTTAAATTCAGGCTATTGCTGTAATCTCAATTGCTTTGTAAATGCACACGTGAGGCCAGAAGACAGCACAGACTGTGACCGTGGTTTACATTCTTCACTGCTCATGTGATTGCTGTCAAGTCATTTTTACATCTAAATTAACATGTGTGGCATTTTACTTAGAATCACCTAATATTAAAATTTTTCTGCTGTAAAGATGTTCTATTGTCCCAATTGTACTGTAGTGGCATATAGGGAGAGCTAATCTCTACACACCCTCTGCAAGCCAGTTCTCAAAATGTCTGGCAACTTGTTGCAAATGCAAATTCCACACACAGTCTACTCCAGAACCACAGAATCAGACACTCTGGGGGTAGGGCCCCCAAATCTGTGTTTCAACAAGCCTTCCATGTGATTCTGATGCTCGCTAGAGACTGAGAAAAACTGCTCTAGGCAAACACCCAGGAAACACTACAGGCAGTTGTTCCCAGGTAGGGCTGGCTACAATTGCTCCATCCTTGCCTCTATTTAAAGTCCAGAATCACAGATGACCTGAAGATAATCTACTTTTACTCATAAGTAAAAGCCCTAGACTGGTGCTAATGCCAAATGACTGGCCTCCGCCAGTCCCCAGGCTTCCTTCCTCTCTTGCCCTCTCATCAGTATTTACCTTCTGAGGAAGACAAGTGATGCTAAAACCTTCAATTCCAATGAAGCCATATGAACGGTTGTTCAGTCATACTTCTAAGACTTCGCTTAGAAGTACTTCGGCATTAAAATATCACTCATGTGCATTACCTTCCAGATAATTGCGAGTAGCTTATAAAATTATGAAGATGTAACATTACAGATAAAATGTAAGAAACTTGTTTTTTTCAAATTTGAGGCTTCAACCTTGGAATTTCACAGTGTGCTAAAATAACGGCTTTCTCAAAGGTCTTTCTGCAAGATAAACTTTATTAAGTAACTTATTTATAAAAGTATTAAAGTAATGTTTAAATTTGAATTTTATTGCTAACTTACAAAGATTTTCTATGTATCAAATGTAACTTACTGCTACTAAACTTAATTTAATATACTCT